TGAGGACTCGATCCCAGGACCCTGAGATCATGACCTGAGCCGAAGGCAGCCGCTTAACCCACTGAGCCACCCAGGCGCCCTATTTATTTATTTATTTATCTGAGAGAGAGAGCGAGCACGTGCATGAGCAGGGGGAAGAAGCATGGGGAGAGGGAGAAGCAGACTCCCCTCTGAGCAGGGAACCTGAGGCGGGACTTGATCTCATGACCCAGGGATCATGACCTGAACTGAAGACAGAGGCTCAACTGACTGAGCCACCCAGGCACCCCTACAGTAGTCAAGATCTTTTATCAGTCTTTTTATTTATAATTTTCTGGGTATTTTTCATTTATCATTTCTGCCTTGGAATGCCTTAATCATCTCCAGATTATAAAAATAGTCTTTTATTCTTTATACTTTTATAGTTTTATTTTTACAATAAGGATTTTAATTGCTCTAGAAGTTACTTTTGGTTGTAGTTGATAGCATCAAGTAAAGATTGTAATGTATAGTGTCAAATAAGGATTTCCCCAAATGAGAGCTAACTGGGCCAACTGATCCTTTCTTCACCAATTTAAAAATGCCCTTTTTTATTATATGCTAAATTGCTAAAATCTGTTTTCTTTAATTGATCTCTTACCACACTGTTTTGATGACTGCAACTTTGTCCTGTGTTTTGATATTTGTACAGCAAGTCTTCCCTGATTGTACTTCTTCAACATTTTAATCTGCTATCCTTGTACAATTTTTCTTCGTAAATTTTATTTACTTATTGTTAGGTTATCCAGTAAAAATAGTTCAAAATGCAAAAAATATACACAGTGAGGGGCGCCTGGGTGGCTCAGTGGGTTAAGCCGCTGCCTTCGGCTCGGGTCATGATCTCAGGGTCCTGGGATTGAGTCCCACATCAGGCTCTCTGCTCAGCGGGGAGCCTGCTTCCCTCTCTCTCTCTCTCTGTCTACTTGTGATCTCTCTCTGTCAAATAAACAAATAAAATCTTTAAAAAAAAAAATATACACAGTGAAAGGCAAATTTTTCTCCCTCCCAGACTTCTAATCCCATAGTCTGATAGGTGGTCATTACTGTCAGTTTTAATATCCTCTTCCAAAAATAGTGTTTAAATATATGTGTTTATGTTCATATTTTAAACAAAAACAGGAGCACTATGTAAATTATTCCCTACCTTGTTTTTTTTAATTTAACAACATTTCATGTCAAGATATATAGCTCTACCTCATTTCTTTATTTATATAAGTTATGTTCAGATATCTTATTGAATCCTATTAAACTTTTGTATTAATGTAAGAATTTGAGGATTATTTTTTACTTCTTAGGTGAAAATTTTCAAACATACTTACAGGTAGAATAGCAAAATAAACTTCTTTGGACCCATCACTCAAATTCAACAGTTATTGACAAATGGCTGATCTCTTTTTATCTGTAAACACATTCTTCTCAAGTGCACATGAAACATTCTCCAGGATAGGCCATTATGCCATAGAACAAGTCTCAAAATTTTATTTTTTTTTAAAGATTTTACTTACTATTTGACAGAGAGAGAGAGAGTGAGAGAGGGAATACAAGCAGGGGAAGTGGGAGAGGAAGAAACAGGCCTCCCACCGAGCAGGGATCCCAGGGAACCCTGGGATCATAACCCTAGCCAAAAGCAGACGCTTAACGACTGAGCCACCCAGGTGCCCCAACAAGTCTCAAAATTTTAAAGAAAACTATAATGCAATATCCCTCATGAATAGAGATGCAAAAATCTTGCACAATACATTAGTATACCAAATCTAGCAACAATTTTACAAGAATATATGCCATGATCAAGTGGGATTTATTCCACAATAATGCAGGACAGTTCAATATACGAATACTAAGGCAATATACCATATTAATCAAATAAAGAACAAAGAGCACATGATCATGTAATAGGTGAAGAAAAACAGTTTGACAAAATCCACTACCCATTCAAGATGAAAAATGTCCCAGTGAACTAGCAACTAGAAGGCAGGGTCCTTAATTTGATGAAGAACATCTAAAAAAATTTATTATATGGTGAAAGATTGTTTTCCCCCCAAGACTGGGGAAAAAATTAATGGTCTACTCTTGTCACTTCTATTTAATGTTGTATTGGAAACCAGTGCTAAAGCCAAAAACAAAACAATAGCAACAACAACAACAACAAAAAACAGGAATTAGGGGCATTTGGATTGGAGAGGAAGAAATAATACTGTCTTTATTTGCAGATGACATGGTCTTATATGTAGAAAATGATTAATACATAATAAAAAGTCATAAAAAATTGGGATTGCAACAACATCCTTATCCTAATAAAGATGTGCGGAAAACCTATAGTCACCATCATACTTGGTAGTGAAACTCAGAAATCCTACTCTTTTTTTAATTTAATTTCTTTTCAATGTTCCAAGATTCATTGTTTATGCACCATACCCAGTGCTCCATGCAACAGTGCCCTCCTTAAAACCCACCACCAGGCTCACCAACCCCCCACTCCATCCCTTCCAAAACCCTCAGTTGGTTTCTCAGAGTCCACAGTCTCTTATGGTTCATCTCCTCCTCCGATTTCCCCCAATTCACTTTTCCTTTCCTTCTCCTAATGTCCTCCATGTTATTCCTTATGCTCCACAAGTAAGTTAAACCATATGATACTTGAGTCTCTCTGCTTGACTTATTTCACTCAGCATAATCTCCTCCAATACCTTCCATGTTGATACAAAAGTTGGGTATTCATCCTTTCTGATGGAGGCAGAATACTCCATTGTATATACGGTCCATATCTTCTTTATCCATTTGTCCATTGAAGGGCATCTCAGCTCTTTCCAGTTTGGTGACTGTGACCATTGCTGCTATGAGCATTGGGGTAAAGATGGCTCTTCTTTTCACTGCATCTGTATCTTTGGGGTAAATACTTCTGTTAAAGATCAGGATAGAACCTATCTCTATTTGATATTTTAATAGAAACCCTAGCCAGTGTTCTCAGGAGAAAAAGTTTTCAGATTGGAAAGAAATAGACAAAACTGTTACTATTTGAAGATTAAGTAAATGGATGATGCTTGGTTGGAGTCATATTTCTCATTACTGAAAAGGGTAATAATAAAATAAGACTAGAGCGCCTGGGTGGCTCAGTGGGTTAAACCTCTGCCTTTGGCTCAGGTGATGATTCCAGGGTCCTGGGATCAAGCCCTGCATCGGGTTCTCTGCTCAGCAGGGAGCCTGCTTCCTCTTCTCCCCCTGTGCCTACCTCTCTGCCTGCTTGTGATCTCTCTCTCTCTCTCTCTCTCTGTCAAGTAAATAAATAAAAATAAAATATTAAAAAAATAATAAAATAAAATCAGACTAGAATAAATCATGTGATTCTGGATTAGAGTTGGAGACATCAGTATAATTCTGAATATAATAAGAAAGTACTCAAAAAATAAGGGGCGCCTGGGTTGCTCAGTGGGTTAAACATCTGCCTTCAGCTCAGGTCATGATCTCAGCGTCCTGGGATCGAGCCCCGCTTCGGGCTCTCTGCTCAGTGGGGAGCCTGCTTCCCTCTCTCTCTGCCTGCCTCTCTGCCTACTTGTGATCTCTCTCTCTGTCAAATAAATAAATAAAATCTTTTTTATTTTTTTTTAATTTTTTTTTATTTTTTTTAAACGATTATTTATTTATTTATTTGAGAGGGAGAGACAGCATGAGAGGGGAGAGGTCAGAGGGAGAAGCAGACTCCCTGCCAAGCAGGGAGCCCGATGTGGGACTCGATCCTGGGACTCCAGGATCATGACCTGAGCCGAAGGCAGTTGCTTAACCAACTGAGCCACCCAGGCACCTAAAATCTTTTTTAAAAAAGTACTCAAAAATAAAAGAATAGGACAATGTCAAAGGACACAGGAGTCAACTTACAAAGTTTCTAATGGCCAAGGTGGAAGAATTTGAACAATAAAATAAAGTAGTATTGGATTAAACCCCAAAGTATAAAATAAATATCCATGAATCATTACTGATATTAGTAAATAGTTAAATAGGCAAATAAATGGGGAAGTAGAGACAGCTCACATTCAGAAGAGTTCTTTAAAAATTATGTAGGTATGTAATTATTTGGGTTTAATTTTTGTAAAAGGTGTAAGGTCTATGTCTAGTTTCTTTTTCTCTCTTTTTTTCTTTTTTCTTTTTTTTTTTTTTTTTGCATGTGGGTGTCATTTGACTGTATTTGTATGGATCTGTTTCTGGGCTCTATATTCTGTTCAAAGGGAAGTTCTTAAAATGGAAGATGCTCCAACTTTATTGCATGAAAAAGGAGATGCTGGCATTAGGAGTTGAATCCCACATGCATATAGGTGGATTGATTTGATGGTAGGAGGACAAGGAATTTCCTTTCTCAGTGAAAACAGAAGCATCTGAGAGAGAGAATCCGAAACCAAATATTAATCAACTAAGTAAGTGGGAAGATGAATTTCTAGGAAACCCTAACAGGATACCTCAGTAACTTGAGTGATCATTTGAGGTTTGTGATCATGAATTTTAAAAGGCTGATTGCAGAGCTGCGTGATTTTTCTTCTAAATCATTCTGCTGCCTAAGCGCAGGCAAGGAATCAGCTCTTTAATGGGTTTTACCAAGTGAGTGGGTTTTAAGACAAGAATGCAGTTGGAAGTTGGTTTTCCATCCTCATATCGTACCCAGCCTCAGATCTAGGGACTGCGCTGATCTGTTCAGTGTTCTGAATTGCTGCTCCAGTGTTCCTGCTCTTCCAGCACTCCTCCCATTTAAAGCTCATGCAATCAGATAACGCTGACTGCCAGCCGTCCTTAACCCTGTAATCCTGGTCGTGCCTGCTCGTTCAGTGAAGATTTTATCACCTGAGTCACCGTTTTCCTCTTCACTCTTGGGGAATTTAGTACCCAAATGGTGGAATAAGACTGAGGGGAAGTGGTGCCCTCAGCAGACATTCAAATTTCAATTAGTTTGAGAATGTGCAAGGGATATATCCTGAAACAATTGAAATAACTTTAAGGAAATGGTAACGGGCCTCTAGTGAAACACCTAAGTAGCTGTCTGAGCAATGTTATGGAAAGTCTCTCTAGGCTCAAACCCCTATAATCTGGATATAAAGTTGCTTTTGTCTTCCAAAGATAGATAATCCACACTTTTCCTGTCAGTCCTAGTTGCTTGAGGACTTGATCATGTATTTCATTTATACTTTCAGATAATATTTAAGAATCAAGCAAGCCGGCCTTATAACATCTACCCTCATGGGATCACTGATGTCAGCCCTTTGCACTCAGGGAGATTGCCAAAAGGTAAGTGGTAGATCAGTTTTATTAAGTCCTGCTGACTTGTAGATATATATGAGGTCACGCTCAAGAGTGCTAAAGTTATACTGGGCCCTGCCACAGTTGGCGTGTACTGGATGGTCACCGTCCTTGGTGCTGAAATTTCCGTATGTAGTACATCTGTATACTTTACAATACACACAAGAAAATGCTATAATTTTTGCTTTAAACAGTCGTACGTAGTTTTAGAAAATTATGGGGGAAAATACTCCTTCATATTCACTCAGTTATTTAGGATTACCAGTGCTTCTTATGAACCTAAAGATCCAGATTTCCATCCGGCATCACTTCCATTCAGATCATTTCTCTTCAATCTAAAGAATTCCTTTAGCATCCCTTGTAGTGCAAGTATGCTTAGACATAGATTCTCTTAGTTTTATTTTATTTGGAAGTGTCTATTTTGTCTTCACTTTTGAAGGCTAATTTTGCTAGATGGAGAATTCTAGGTTGAGAGGGCTTTTTATTCCTTTGAGCACTTTGAAAAATCTTGTTTTACTATCTTCTGGCCTTCATAATGGCTAAATTTAGATTTCATTGAATTATTCTTCACCTGTATGTTATTATTTTCTGACTTTGATTTTCTTCATATTTATCCTATTTGCTGTATACTGATCTTCCTGGATCCATAAAGTTATATTTTTACAAATTTGGAAAGATCATGGTCATTATTTCCTCAAAAAAAAATTCTACCCTGTTCTCTGTCTCCTTTCCTGGGTCTCTAATTACATGAATTGTATTTTGGTATTGGCCCACAGGCCTGAATATTTTCACCATATTTTTTTCTTTCTCCATCTTATCTGCAAAATGGATATTTCCTGTTGACCTATCTTCAGGTTCACTGACGTCAAACTGGAATTTCTGAGTCATGGTATATGTATTTCTGTGTTTAATAGATAGCCACACTTTTGTCCCCAAATGAAGTTATAATTCATACTCCTACTACTCATATATGAAAGTATAATTTCCCACATTATTGATATCTAGACATTGATAGTTTTTTTAAAAAGATTATTTATTTATTTATTTGACAGAGAATCAGAGAACACAAGCAGGGGAAGCTGCAGAGGGAGAAGGAGAAGCAGACTCCCTGCTGAGCAGAGAGCCCGACTCAGGGCTTGACCCCAGGACCCTGGGATCATGACCTGAGCTGAAAGTAGACACTTAACCGACTGAGCCACACAGGTGTCCCTAGACATTGACAGTTTTTAAAAATCCTGCCTATCCGGTGGGCAAAAAGTGGTGTCTCAATGCTGTTTTAATTTTATTTTTTATTATTTCCTAATTTTAATTCCAATATAGTTAACATACAGTGTTATATTAGTTTCAAATGTATGATGCAGTGATTCAGTACTTCCATACAACCCCCAGTGCTCATCAGGACAATTGCCCTCCTTCATCCCCATCATCTATCTCACTCATTCCCCCACCTACGTCTCATCTGGTAACCATCAGTGTGCTCCGTAGTTAAGAGTCTGTATTGGTTTGCCTCTCTTTTTCCCTTCACTTGTTTGTTTTGTTTCTTAAATTCCACATATGAGTGAAATCCTATGGCATTTGTCTTTCTCTGACTGATTTTGCTTTGCATAATACTCTCGAGCTCCATCTATGTCATTGCAAATGGCAAGATTTCATCCTTGTTGATGGCTGAGTAATATTCCATATGTGTATGTACACATACACACACACACACACCCCACATCTGTCGATGGACATCTGGGCTTGCTCCATAGTTTGGCTATTGTGGACATTGCTGCTATAAACATTGGGGTGTTAGATCACTACATTTGTATCTTTGGAGTAAATACCTAATAGTGCAATTGCTGGGTCGTAGGGTAGCTCTATTTTTATTTTTTGAGGAACCTCCATACTATTACCCAGGGTGACTGCATCAGTTTGCATTCCCAACATTGTAAGAGGGTTCCTCTTTCTCCACAACTTTGCCAATACTTGTTGTCTCTTGTGTTGTTGATTTTAAAGTGTGAGGTGATCTCTCATTGTAGCTTTGATTTGCATTTCCCTGATGATGAGTGATGATGAGCACCTTTTCATATGTCTATTGGCCATCTGGATGTCTTATTTGGAAAATATCTGTTCAGGTCTTCTGCCCATTTTTTAATTGGATGATTCATTTTTTGGGTGTTGAGTTTTGTAAGTTCTTTCTATCTATTGGATACTAACCCTTTGTCATATATGTCATTTGCAAATATCTTCTCCTATTCAGTAGGTTCTCTTTTAGTTTTCTTGTTTCCTTTGCTATACAGAAGCTTTTTATCTTTTTAAAAACATTTTAAAATTTAAATTCAATTAATTAACATATAATGCATTATTGGTTTCAAAGGTACAGACCTGTGATTCATATATTACATAATACCCAGTTATATTACATCATATGCCCTCCTTAATGTCTATTACCCAGTTACCAGTCCCTCCACACTCCTTCCCCTCCAGCAACCCTCAGTTTGTTTCCTATGATTAAGACTCTCTTATGGTTTGTCTACCTCTCTGGTTTCCTCTTGTTTTATTTTTCACTCTCCACCTATGATCCTCTCTTGTTTCTTAAATTTCACATATCTTAAAATCCACCTGTGATCATTGTCTTTTTCTGATTGACTTATTTCGCTTAACTACCCTCTAGTTCCATCCATGTTATTGCAAATAGCAAGATTTCATTTTTTATGGCTGTGTAATATTCTATTGCTCACTTGCACACTCTCTCTCTCTCTCTCTCTCACACACACACACACATACACACACACCACATCTTCTGTATCCATTTGTCTGTCAATGGGCATCTGGGCTCGTAACATAATTTGGCTATTGTGGACATTGCTCCCATAAACACTGGGTTGCACCTACCCTTCGGATCACTACATTTGTATCTTTGAGGTAAATACCTAATAGTGCAATTGCTAGGTCATTGGGTAGCTCTATTTTTAACTTTTCAAGGAACGTCTATACAGTTTTCCAGAATGGCTGCACCAGCTTGCATTCCCACCAACAGTGTAGGAGGGTTCCCCCTTCTCCGCATCCTCGCTAACATCTGTTGTTTCCTGACTTGTTAATTTTAGCCATTCTGACTGGTGTGAGGTGGTATCTCATTGTGGTTTTGATTTGTATTTCCCTGATGCTGAGTGATCTTGAGTATTTTTTCATGTGTCTGTTGGCCTTCTGGATTTCTTCTTTGCAGAAATGTCTGTTTATGTCTTCTGGCCATTTCTTGATTGGATTATTTGCTCTTTGGGTGTTGAGTTTGATAAGTTCTTTGTGGATCTTGGATACTAGTCCTTTATCTGATATGTCATTTGCAAATATCTTCTCCCATTCTGTTGGTTGTCTTTTGGTTTTCTTGACTATTTCCTTTGCTGTACAAAAGCTTTTTACCTTGATGAAGTCCAGTAGTTCATGTGTCTGGGTTTTTTTGTTTGTTTGTTTGTTTTTGCTTTTCATATATGGCTTTTATGATATTGAGGTATGTTCCCCCTATCCCTATACTATGGAGAGTTTTAATCAAGAAAGGATGCTGTACTTTGTCAAGTGCTTTTACTGTACCTATTGAGAGGATCACATGGTTTTGTCCTTTCTTTTATTTATGTAATGTATCACATTGATTGATTCTGGATATTGAACCAGCCTTGCAGCCCAGGAATAAATCCCACTTGGTTGTGGTGTATAATCCTTTGAATGTGCTATTGGATCCTGTTGGCTAGTATTTTAGTGAGAATTTTTGTATCCATGTTCATCAGGGATATTGGTCTGTAATTCTCTTTTTTGGTGGGTTCTTTGTCTAGTTCTGGGATCAAGGTAATGCTGACCTCATAGAGTCTGGAAGTTTTCCTTCTATTTCTGTTTTTTGAAACAACTTCAGAAGAATAGGTATTAGTTCTTCTTTAAATGTTTGGTAGAATTGCCTGGGAAGCCTTCTGGCCCTGGGCTCTTATTTACTGGGAGATTTTTGATTACTGCTTCAATTTCCTTTCTAGTTATGGGTCTGTTCAGATTTTCTGTGTCTTCCTGTTTCAGTTTTGGTAGTTTGTATGTTTCTGGGAATGCATCCATTTCTTCCATATTGCCTAACTTGTTGGCATATAGTTGCTCATAATATGTTCTTAAAATTATTTGTATTTCTTTGGTGTTGGTTATGATCTTTCATCTTTCATTCATGATTTTATTAATTTGGGTCCTTTCTCTTTTCCTTTTGGTAAGTCTGGCCAGGGGTTTATCAATCTTATTAATTCTTTCAAAGAACAAGCTCCTAGTTTCATTTGATCTGTCTACTGATTTCTGTTCTAATCTTTATTATTTCTCTTCTCCTGCTGGGTTTAGGCTTTTTTTGCTGTTCTTTCTCCAGATCTTTTAGGTGTATGTTTAGCTTGTATATTTGAGATCTTTCTCATTTTTTGAGAAAGGCTTCTATTGCTATGTCATTCCTTCTTAGGACCAACTTCGCTATATCCTAAAGGTTTTGAACAGTTGTGTTTTCATTTTCATTTGTTTCCATGAATTTTTTAAATTCTTAATTTCCTGATTGACCTATTCATTCTTTAGTGGGATGCTCTTTAGCCTCCATGTATTTGAGCTCTTTCCAAAGTTCCTCTTATGATTAAGTTCAAGTTTCAAAGCATTGTGGCCTGAAAATATGCAGGGAATGATCCCAGACTTTTGGTACCAGTTGAGACCTGATTTGTGACCCAGTATGTGATCTGTTCTGGAGAATGTTCCATCTACATTTGAGAAGACTGTATTCTATTGCTTTAGGATGGAATACTCTGAATGTATCTGTGAAGTCCATCTGGTCCAGTGTGTCATTGAAAGCCCTTATTTCCTTATTGATCTTCTGGTTAGATTATCTGTCCATTTCAGTGAATGGGGTGTTAAAGTCCCCTACTATTATTGTATTATTATCATTGTGTTTCTTTAATTTTGTTATTAATTAGTGTATATAGTTGGCTGCTCCCATGTTAGGGGCAGATTTACAACTGTTAGTTCTTCTTGTTGGATAGACCATTTAATTATGATATAATATCCTTCATCATCTCTTATTACAGTCTTTGGTTTAAGTAGAAGGATTGCTTTCCAGCTTTCTTTTGATGTCCATTAGCATGATAAATGGTTCTCCACCCCCTCACTCTCAATCTGGAGGTGTCTTTGGATCTAAAATGAGTCTCTTACCAATAGCATATGGATGGGTCTTGCTTTTTTATCCAATCTGATACCCTTTGTCTTTTGATTGGGGCATTTTGATTGGCTCATTTACATTCAGAGTAACTATTGAAAGATATAATTTAGTGCCATTGTATTACCTGTAAAGTCACTGTTTCTGTATAGTATCTCTGTTCCTTTCTGGTCTGTGTTGTTTTTGGGCTCTCTTTTTGCTATAGGATCCCTTTTTTACCTCTTGTGGGGCTGGTTTAATGATCACAAGTTCTTTTAGTTTCTTTTTGTCCTGGAAGATCTTTATCTTTCCTTCTATTCTGAATGGCAGCCTTGCTGGGTAAAGTATTCTTGGCTGCTTATTTTTCTCATTTGGGACCCTGAATATATCATGCCAGTCCTTTCTGGCCTGCCAGGTCTCTATGGATTGGTCTGCTGCCAATATAATGTTTCTATCATTGTAGGTTAGGGACCTCTTGTCCTGGGGCACCTGAGTGGTGCAGTTGTTAGGCATCTGTCTTTGGCTCAGGTCATGATCCCAGGGTCCTGGGATCGAGCCCTGCATTGGGCTCCCTGCTCAGCGGGAGGCCTGCTTTTTCTTTTCCCACTGCCTCTGCTTGTATTCCCTCTCTGGCTGTCTCTCTCTCTGTCACGTAAATAAAATCTTTTTAAAAAATAAAAGGACCTCTTGTCCTAAGCTGCTTTCAGGATTTTCTGTCTCTGAGATTTTTAAGTTTCACTATTATCCGTCGGAGCATTGACCTATTTTTATTGATTTTTGAATAGGATTCTCTGTCTTCTGGATTTTAATGCCTGTTTCCTTTCCCAGATTAGGGAAGTTCTCTGCTATAATTTGCTCCAAATATACCTTCTGTCCCTACTCTCTTTCCTCTTCTTCTGGGATCTCAAATATTCTAATATTGTTTCACTTTATGATATCACTTATTTCTTGAATTCTCCCCCCTGTCATCCGGTAGTTGTCTCTCTTTTTCTCAGCCTCTCTTTTCTCCATCATTTGGTCTTCTATATCACTAATTCTCTCTTCTGCCTCATTTATCCTAGCAGTTAGAGCCTCCATTTTTTATTGCATCTCATTTATAGCCTTTTTTATTTTGATCTGATTATGTTTTCATTCTTTTATTTCTCCAGGGAGTGATTCTCTAGTGTCTTCTATGCTTTTTTCAAGCCCAGCTAGTATCTTTATAATCATTATTCTAAACTGTAGTTCTGACATCTTACTTATATCCGTACTGATTAGGTCCCTGGCAGTCCATACTGCCTCTTGTTCTTTTTCTGAGGTGAGTTTTTTCATCTTGTCATTCTATCCAGAGAAGAATAGATGAGCAAGAGAACAAAATACTAAAATGGCAACAACAACCCTGAGAAATATACACTAAATAAATCAGAAGAGACCTGAAACTGAAATAAAAAAGAGAAAGAGAAAGAAAGAGAATATAATTAGACAGGTGAACAGAATAGAGCAATATCCCAGACCCTGTGTGTATTTTGGTCTATTTGTTAGAAAACTAGATCCCAAAACTATAAAGAAAGAAAATCTTATATATGTATAAAAATAGAGTTAAATACAATGAAAAGATAGAATATAACTATAAAAATAGAAATTAAAAGATAAGAAAAAAAAACCCAACCACCAAAAAGGAAGCATTATAAGAGCAGAGCAGAGCAATACAGTATCTCCTGAGTATATTTTGGTCAGTTTGTTAGAAGAAACTACATCCCAAAATCGTAAAGAAAGAAAAACTTATACATATGAAAATAAAATTAAATACATTGAAAGGACAAACTGTAACTATAAAGATGAAAATTTAAAAAGACTTTAACAAAACAGAAAAAGGATGCAGAAAAAGAAAAAAACAACAACAAAAAGCAGAATATGACCAGACAGATGAATAGAACAGAGCCATATACTAGATTTTAGGTATATTTTGGTCTGTTAGAAGAAACTACAACCCAAAATTGTAAATAAAGAAAAACTTATATATATATATACACAAAATAAGATTAAATACAATGAAGGGATAAAATGTAACTGTAAAAATGAAAATTAAAAAAGAATTTAAAAGGAGTTGATAAAATAAGAAATTGGCTCAAAAAGGAAAGAAAAAAATTAACTTTGAAAGACTAAAGAATCATGGAGGGAAAAGCCATGAATTCTAGGTGCTGTATTCCTGTAGTTCTGAAGTTTTGCAGTTCTCATCAATCAGTACGCTTGTTCTTGGCTGGATGTTCTAGCTGATCTTCTGGGGGAGGGGCCTGTTGTTGATTCTCAAATATCTTTGCCTGGGGCCAGGCTGAGTACTCTGCGCAGGTTTGCTCTAGGTAGTTTTGTTCCCTGAACGCTTTCCATACAGCTTTGGAGGACGGGAATGAAGATGGCGGTCTCCCAATCACTGGCGCTGGAGCTGAGAGCTCAGAGCCCCACTCCTCAATGTGCCCTCACAGAAAAGCAGTCAATCCTCATTTGTGTCTCCCTGGTCTCTGTCCACACTCCGTGCTCACTGGGCCTGTGACCGGCCATTTCTATCTGTGGCACATGACCCCGTTTGGAGTCTCCAAACCCAGCAAACTCCTGCAGCCCACTCCTCAGCTCCGTCTCTGTAGCCGGCTTCCCCGGTCCAATACATGGGAGCTCTGCCACACTCAGGCACCCCTGGTCTTCCTGTGAGCCTGCAGGGGTCACACGTCTCTCAGTGGAGCGCACTTCTATAAGTTCTGATTTTGTCCTCCACTGGTCTATCACTTGCCAGGAGCTGGTTGACAGAGGCTCCCTGCCTGCACCCTCCACCCCTGCAGTCTGTCTTCCTAAATATCATCTCGGATTCAGTTCTCTGCACCTCCTACTTGCAGAAAGTGGTTGCTCTTCTGTTTGTAGAGTTGCAGCTGTTCTTTGCTTTGCTCTCGGGTTGAGTTCACAGGTGTTCAGAAAGGTTTGATAGCTATGTAGCTGAATTCCTGGGACCAAATGAAATTGAGGACTCCTACGTCTCCACCATCTTGGACTCTTCTCTTCTGCAAAAGCTTCTTGATGAAGTCCTAATGGCTCATTTTGTCTTTGTTTCCCTTGCCTTTGGAGATGTATCTAACCAGAAGTTGCTGCGGCTGAGGTCAAAGAGGTTGCTGCCTGTGTTTTCCTCTAGGATTTTGATGGATTCCTGTCTCACACTGAGGTCTTTAATCTATTTTGACTCTATTTTCGTGTGTGCTGTAAGAAAGTGGTCCAGTCTCATCCTTCTGCATGTTTGCTGTCCAGTTTTCTCAACACTGTTTGTCAAAGGGACTGCCTTTTTCCCATTGCATATTCTTTCCTGCTTTGTTGAAGATTAGCTGACCATAGAGATGAGGGTTCATTTCTGGGCTCTCTATTCTGTTCCATTGATTTATGTGTCTGTTTTTGTGCTGGAACCATACTGTTTTGATCACTACAGCTTTGTAATACAACTTGAAATCCTCGACACACTTTAACTGCAAAACAATGTGTGAATCTTCAACTTATAATAGCTGCAAATTTAGTTTCAATTTATTGAGAAGCCTCACATGTGCGTATACATTTGTAAAGCCCTTGAAATAACAACATGACTTAGCAATATGTGGCTTGTTACACTCTAATCTACCAATTTATCTAATTTACCAATATGTGGCTTGTTACACTCTAATCATGGTGTTTTGTGGTTTGGGCGTGGGTAGGTGTGAAACATTTGAAAGATATGCCAATTCTGCCAGGAGAGATATTCAAGTATAAATGGACAGTGACTGTAGAAGATGGGCCAACGAAATCGGATCCTCGGTGCCTGACCCGATATTACTCAAGCTTCATTAATCTGGAGAGAGATCTAGCTTCAGGACTCATTGGCCCTCTCCTCATCTGCTACAAAGAATCTGTAGATCAAAGAGGAAATCAGGTGGGTTCTTGTCTTTCCAAGTTCTGGGTTTGATGGACTGATGATGCATATGAACTTCCAGCTATTTCCTATACTTTCTCAGTGTAATGCCCCCCTGTGGTCTGCAGAAAATTTAGTAGTCTGCAGTATTGGCCAATAAAAGAAACGAACTGGGTTTCTCACAACTGTTTCTGAATTTAGTTCGGTTTAATAAACCTGCCTGCTGGATAGATAGGGGAGCCTATCCTATTATATTTCTATAATACTCATTTCCAGTCTAAAATTTCACTTTCTGGGGTGCCTGGCTGGCTCAGTTGGAGGAGTATGTGACTCTTGATCTTGGGGTCATGAGTTCAAGCCCCTCATTGGATGTAGCAATTACTTATATAACTAAAACTTTAAAAATTTAAAATTCCACTTTCTGTAACTGATCTTGCTTGTTTTTACATGCTGAACTACTACTCATTTTTATATGACCCATGCATCTGTGTCAAAATCTAGACTCCCCCCCCCCCGATGTCTCATGATGGGTGACTCAGAGACACCTCAGAATGAACATATCTGCAGCATCCAGCATAGTGCATGGCGTGCAGTGGGAATTCAATAGGATTTGTTGAGAAAAATACAGGGAAAGATATAAAATGTTTCAGAAATGTTTAAAGAATTTAGACCACTTATGCTGCTTTGAGAAAAGAAACCAAAATGTCTGCATAAGGAAAGCCTGGGTGGCACAGTTGGTTAAGCATCCAACTCTTGACTTTGGTTCAGGTCATGATCTCAGGGTTGTGAGATCAAGCCCCATGTCAGGCTCTGTGCTTCATGCAGAGTCTGCTTAGGACTCTCTCTTTCCTTCTCCCTTTGCCATTCCCCCCTCAAAACAAATAAACAAATTTTTTTTTTTAAATGGAAGAAGCCTAGTACTTTGCAGAAGCTCATTGCTTAGATCAGAATGACTCATAGCTGTATTGCTGAGGCTGGACCACATGTCAGTTTGGTTATTTATTACATAGGATCTTTACTAGTCTGAGAACATTTCCTTGGGTTAGAGAGTAAAGCATGTGAATTTTAAAACCTGTGGCATACAAACCCAAAAAGCATAAACTTGGGAAAGTACTTTCCTGACAAATTTTTCCTAATTATAGTTTTTCCACCAATTTTTTGGAAGAGGACTGAAATGTAACTCTATATTTTCTAATGTCCTCTCCTCAGCATTTTAGGTTCTGTAGTGCCACATTATGCAAACTGAAATTTATACATATTAGTGAAGCTTATACATTAAGTCTTAACAGAATCGATTAGCAAGTGACTAACTCATAATTTTGGTTCATGCATAAACTGCTCTTTTAAAAAGAACTTTAAACTTTTTTAACAGAAAACTTTAGATATTAGTGTTACTTAACATTTCATGGCCCATCTTGTTATTTGATTTCTGTTTTCTATTTTTAATTTTTTATAGATTGGTAGCTTTGCGGAAGGGCTCTTGCTAGATCGAAGTTTAGGAAAGGCATTAATCTTACTTGACTTGACTAACTTGTTCAAGAAAAACACTGAGTAATCACTTGGGTCTTTAAAGAATGAAAGTCCTATAATCTGAACATGGAGGGAATGAGGCTACAGAGTGTACCAGAAAATCAGCCAGCATATGGCCTTGGGTCCAGAAGAAACTAGGTTTAGTGGGTCCAGTCACCCTCTCACCCTGAGGCCACATTTGCTCTAAAGGGTTAGTCAAGCCTACACCCGGGCCCTGTTATGTGCGTAACAGTTGTGCGATGGGGAAATTGGAATAGAACTGAGGGATTCAGTATGGATGTATCACGTGCGTGCCATCATTTCCCCACAGACTACTAATTGTTAGGCGACAATACTGATAGCATTTCTTTCTTTCAATATGTGTCATTAACAGATGATGTCAGACAAGAGAAACGTCATCCTGTTTTCTGTATTTGACGAGAATCGGAGCTGGTACCTCACAGAGAATATGCAGCGCTTCCTCCCCAGCACAGAGACTGCGCGGCGGGGCGACCCAGACTTCCAGGTCTCTAACATCATGCACAGTAAGTAAAGCCGAGCTCAAGTACAGGTGACGTGTTAACTCATATGCCGTGCGACAGTCCTATTTCCTTAAAAACTGTTACCTGGAGACGCCTACGTGGCGAAGTCAGTTAAGCATCTGACTCTTGGTTTCCAGTTAGGTCACGGGATCGGGTCCTGTGTCCAGCTCCCTGCTCAGCAGGTACTCTGCTTGAGGTTCTCTCTCCCTCTGCCTCTGCCCCTCCCCTGCACACAAGCTCTCTCTCTCACTCTCTCTCAAATAAATAAATCTTTTAAAAATTAGGAGCACCTGGGTGGCTCAGTCATTGGGCGTCTGCCTTCGGCGTGGGTCATGATGCCAGGGTCCTGGGATCAAGCCCCGCATCGGGCTCCCTGCTCAGCGAGGCACCTGCTTCTCCCTCTCCTACTCCCCCTGCTTGTGTTCCCTCTCTCTGTCTGTCAAATAAATAAATAAAATCATTTTTAAAAAATAAAATAAATAAAAATTGATATATATGAATGTGTACAGTTTTATTTAAAGGCTTAAATATGATCATATACTGCATATATTTTTTTCTTTTAGAAGGCATTTCAAAGGGTAAATCAAATGAGACACAACTTTCATTTACCCAAATATGCATAGTCCATCCCTAATATAAAATGCACTCAGGGTTCCTAACTGGCTCAGTTGGTAGAATGTGCAACTCTTGAACTCACGGTTGTAAGTTTGAACCCCTTGTTGGGTGTAGAGATTACTTAAAACTAAAATCTTTTAAAAAATGCTTTTAAGGGGCACCTGGGTGGCTCAGTGGATTAAAGCCTCTACCTTCAGCTCAGGTCATGATCCCAGGATCCTGGGATCGAGCCCCACATTGAGCTCTCTGCTCAGCGGGGAGCCTGCTTCCCCTCTCTCTCTGCCTGCCTCTCTGCCTACTTGTGATCTCTGTCTGTCAGATAAATAAATAAAATCTTTAAAAATAAATAAATAAAAATAAAAAAATGCTTTTAAATGCACTCAATTGGTAAGTTACACATAAAATACAAAGGGAATGCAATTTTACACATATAAACCAATTGCCAACTATAGCAACTCAAGTCAAATTAATCAACACACTGTACATTAAAAAAAACACCTTTTTCCCAGCTTTACTGACAAATAAAAATTGTATATATTTAAGGTGTACAACATGATTTTTTTGTGTCTACTTGGCTGCCTCCTCTCTTTTATCTCTCTGTTTCCTTCCATGTTACACCTTCCACTAACCTTTTTATGTTCAGGTAGCCCATGTTAAAATTTTCTACATGATTATATAATCATAAACACACACACACACACACACACATAGTCTTAATCTGCTAGGCCTGCCATAACATAGTACCAAACAATGGGTGGCTTCAACAGCAGAGATTTACTTCCTCACAGTTCTGGAAGCTAAAAGTCTGAGATCAAGATTCAGCAGGATTGGTCTCCTCTGAGGCCTCTTTCGTTGGCCTATAGATAACCACTTTCATTGGCTTTAAGATAACCACTTATAGATAACCACTATCCTCACATGGTCTTTCCTCTGTGCATGTACATGTCTGGGTATAAATTTCATATGCTTTACTTAAGTTTAAATTCAATTCGCCAACATAGAGTACCTCATTGGTTTCAGACGTAGTGCTCAGCAATTCATCAGCTGCCTACAATACCCAGTGCTCATCATGTCCCACACCCTCCTTCATGCCCACCACCGTTACCTCTCCCCCTACCCCTCCCCTCCACCAACCCTGTTTCTTTCCTGTGATTAAGAGTCTCTTATGGTTTGTCTCCCTCTCTAATGACTTCCCGTTCAGTTTTCCCTCCCTTCCCCTATGATCTGCACTTCTTCTTACTTATAGTCCACATATGAGCGAAGCCATATGATAATTGTCTTTCTCTGCTTGACTCATTTCACTCGGCATAATACCCTCTAGTTCCATCTGTGTCGGTGCAAATGGCAAGAGTTCATTTTCTGATGGCCGAGTAGCTCTATTTTCAACTTTCTGAGGAACCTCTGTACTGTTTTCCAGAGTGGCTGCACCAGCTTGCATTCCCACCAATAGTGTAAGAAAAAACAATGGGAAATTTTAAACTGAAAGATAAAGGTATAATGAGAATAAACCTCAAATTCTGTGTACTGTTCTCCCCTGGCACTGGAGTTTTGCAGTCCTGTGTGCTCCGTGAACTTGGTGTTGCCTGTTGTTCCAGCTGGTCTTCTAGGGGAGGGGCCTGTTGTGCTGATTCTCTGGTGTCCTTGCTTGGGCAGAGTTGCACTGCCCTTGTCAGGGCTCAGTGGGAGCTGCTCCAGATTGCTCTATGTGGCTTTTGTTCCCTGAAGGCTTTCTGTGCCTCTTTAGAGGATAAATATAAAAATGGCCGCTTCCTGATCTCCAGCCCCAGATCTGAAAAATCATGGTCCCCTCTCATCAGTAAACCCTCAGGAATAAGCAGTCTTCACTTCTGTGTGCCAAAGTCTACAGGCTCCTGCAGTGTGCACCTGCACACACCCTCCCAGGGAAAGGCAGAGGGTAGCAGGGTTTCTGCCCTTTGCAAGGCCTGCGCACAGAGGCCAGTCGCTGGATCCTGCAGTGGTTCATGGTTTATGGCGACCCAAGCATTGGCCATAACTGGTTGCCTGCTGCAATGCTTGGGAACTCTGCCAGCTCAGGCATCCCTGTCCTTTCTGTGATCCCCTGGATCCTGAGACCACACGGTCCCACCTAGGATTCTGCCCCACTTCACCACCTGAGTGCCTTTCAGGCAGGGAAGTCCCTCACTGGAGCAGACTTCTAAAGGTTCTGATTTTGCAGTCCACTGCTGGATCTCTTTCCGGTAGCTGGCTGATGGAGGCTCCCTCCTGCCCCATGGTTTATTTTCCGGTATGTTGGCTCAGATTCACTTCTCCACACTCCCTACCTTGCAAAAACTGGTCAGTTTTCTATTGGTAGAATTCCAGCCATTCTTTTCTTATATCTCACATTGAATTCATAGGTGTTCAGAATGATTTGATAGTTACCTAGCTAAATTCAAGGGACCAGATGAAATGAGATTCCCTGCTCTTCGGCCCTCTTGCTTCCCCTCCACAAATTCCTATTCTTATTAAAAAAAAAAAAAAAAAAAACACCAGTCTCAGTTGAGCATCCAAGTCTTGATTTCAGCTCAGGTCATGATCTCAGGGTCATGAGATGAAGCCCTGCATTGGGCTCTGTGTTGGGTGTGGAGCCTGGGCTCAGTGCACAGTCTGCCCCTTCTTCCCACCCCTAAAATAACGATATAAATCTTTCCAAAATTTTTCAATCTCACTACAGAACCATGCTACTGGATAACTAGTACAGCATTTTGAAACCATATGTTGAAACCATTAAAATTAAAAATAATATGTCTTTTGAAGTTCTGGTTCTGGTTAAGATGGGATAAGCACATGTTACCCTGTCTATTTCACCAAATGCCTAAAAATCCCTAACAGAACACATGAAGCAGCTATCTGAGAACCCTGAAATATAGTTGCCAGCAGGTAAATTGGGGAAGGAAGCTAGAAAGTTTTAAAAGCATTCATACTAAAGTGAGGAAATGAAACCAAATATGACATGATTATTGCATAGAAAATCTCAAGAACTCGACAAGAAAACTCCTAGAACTAATAAGTGAGTTTAGCTTCATTGCAGAATACAAGGTGAACATACAAAAGTCAGTCATATTTCTATACTCCAACAACAAGCTATTGGAAACACAATTACGAAAATACCAATTATAATAGCTAAAATAGGCATAAATCTAACAAAATGTACAACATCTGCACACGAAAAAATGTAAAACATTGTTGCAAGAAAATTTAAGACATAATGTGGAGAGATACAGTGATCACAGATTGGAAGATAGAAGATAGAAGCAGAGTGGAGGTGTCAGCTATAAATTTAATGCAATTCTTAGTAAAATCTCAGCAAGATTTTTTATTTGATAGAGAAAAGCATATTATAAGATTTATATGGAAAGGCAGAGAAACTAGAATAAGCCAAAACAATTTTGAAAAAGAAAAATTAAGTTGGAGGACTCATACTACCTGATTTTAAGACTGTCTATAAAGCTACAGCAATCAAGATAGCATTATATTGACAAAGATCAAGGACACAGAATAGTGTAGCGATAGACCCACACGTACATGGCTGCTTCGTTTTTGGCAAACATGGAAACACAATTCAATGGAGAAAGGATAGCCTTTTCAACAAATAGTTTTAAAATAATTGGTCATCCATATGAAAAAAAATGAACCTTGACCTAAATCTCACACCTTAGCAAAGATTAACTGAAAATGGATCATAGATCTAAGTGTACAATGTAAAACCATGACCTAGAGTTAGAAGACTTCTGATTGATGACATCAAAATCAAAATCCATAGAAAGGAAATATTGATAAATTGAATTTCATCAAAATTTAAAACTTACTGTACGAAAGATAAAGAGAATGAAAAGTTAAAGAGAATGAAAAGCCCCAGATGAATAGAAAATATTTAAAAATCTCATATCTGAATGCTCAGGCTAAACAGAAAAAAAAAAAAAAAAAAAACTAAAAATGGGCAAAAGATTTGAACAGACACATCACCAAAGAAGATATATGGAAAGCAAAGAAGTACCTGAAAGGACACTAAACATAAGGAATTGCATGAGGGGACACCTGGGTGGCTTAGTCGGTTAAGCATCTGACTCTTGATCTCCACTCGCCTCTTAATCTCAAGGTTGTGAGTTCAAGCCCCACACTGGGTTCCACACCTGGCTTAAAAAGCCTCAGTGAGATGTCTAAATTAAATATGCAGTAGGAGCCTTCCCAGTGCTGGTGGGAGACAGTTAAACATAAAGTTAAACATATACTTAACATATGATCCGGCAGGACCACTCCTGGATATTTTCCCGAGAAAAATGAAAACTTATGTCCACACAAAAACCTGCCTGGGAATGTTTATGGAAGCTCTATCCATCATTGGTAAAACTTGGAAACAGACAACT